TTAGCATTCCTTTTTTGAGTGCTGCTATCAAGTTTTTCGTGGGCTTTTCGTTCCAGTATGTGCGCGTTGCCTTCGTGGCTGGTTTGCTCTGGCTCAACGCACGGGTCCTGCTCCACGGGGAGCTGCCCACCCCGCAACGGCAGTCCGTTGAACCTTTTCAATGCGGAAGAACCCTGCCCCACCTTCCGTCGCTCTCGATGGCATCCGGTTGCCTGCGCCACCCGACAGCGCCGAGGCGGAATGCGTCTGGAAACTTTGCCTTTCCTGCCACGCATGCTCCTTCGCAGGGCTGCAGGTGCACCCCGTGTCCCCAAAGCTGTGTTTGCCCGGTTTTCGGTTTTCTTTCGTGGCGAGTGGGCAGAATAGCTGTGCCTCGATCCCTCGCTCTTCCGCGTGCTCCTTCCTCGCTGTCTTGAGCGAGCTGCCGCCCAAGCTTGATGACGGGCGCGTAGAGGTCATAGGCGCCGCTCTGGGGGCGGCGCTGCGCCACCCCGGTTTCGGTTGTGGACTCCGCGTCCGAGAGGCCCGCTGCGACAAGGTAACAACGCACTTATCCGGCAGACGTTTTCTTCCGCCGGTGTCGCTTCGTTGCGCTTGCCATCAAAGCAACTGAGCGGTGGATGCCTGAAGCCGCGCAGTCTGTCCAGCTTGCCCGGGTTGACAAAGCAAACTGGTAGGGTCGGCGCCTCGTTTTAGTTTGTGCAGGCCCGGGAGGCGGCACCGGTCTTCGGCCGGAAGGGCCCGCGTCCGGGGGCCCTCCCTGAGCCGGTGGCGGGCGAAGCAGGGAGCGCGGGTTGAGAATGGCGCAAACGACCAAGGACAAACAGGCCACGCTGAGCGCTAGGGGGGGGGAGCGTGTTGTGCCCAACTCAAACGTCTGCAGAGTGAGGGACGTGTTGGACGCCAGCTGGCGCAACGCCTGCGCGTTCCAAACTCGGGCCTTGCCATCACTCAGCCGGATCCGGGTGTGAACGAACAAGTGGTGCTCGAAACGAGGCAAGGAATGGATGACCGGAACACGTGTTTGCTTGGGACGCGAGCTTGAGCACCCAAGGCCCTGCGCGCAGTCGTTGGTTCATGCTCTCCTTGGGAGACGGAAAAGGACACGCAGCTGCGCCACCACGCGGCCCGAAGACCTGCGCTGGGGGACGTCCCTGACACCATCACCCGTGCGGCTCGCCTGGGCCGCATCGCGGCGCCGCGGTCGAGCCCGCGGTTTGGTAACGGCAAAACTGCCGGACCAGTGCTGGCGGAAGGCGCAGCGGAGTGCTGCAACTTGCAAGCGGCACCGCAAGGCGCCCGCTTGGCAGCGCGTTGGGCGTCCTGGGTCTGGACGTCCTCGCTGCACTGAACGCGGGCGGTGAGCTGTTGTGCTCAGCCGAGGCTGTCCAGGCGGCGTCCACGCTGCCACTGGGCTTCAACAGGATGGGGTGCCCGGCTTGCGGCTAGCCGTCCCTCGTGATGGGGCTGACCAACGTCGGCTCCCTTGTGCAGCACGCGGCCCAAGGCATCTGCGAGGCGACCGCGGCGGCTAGTGCGCGCAGATGTGGGGAGCGGCGTGCGCACGCATGAGGTGGCTTCTCCTTGCTAGCGGCGGAGGAAGCCACAAGCCTTGCCATTTTGGCGCAAGAAGGCTCAGGGGTTCTGTTTGCTGGCCGTGTCCCCCCCCTTGTTCCGCTGCCACTTGAGGGGCGCCACGGATCGCATAGCTGGGAGTCGGGCCAAACTGTCAACAGCAGGGGGGCGGGCCCAACCGCCTTCCCGTCGACACGGCTGACGGTGCAGCGCTCCCAAATGCCAGCCCAGTGCTCCCAGCCCGTGCTTCCGTGAGTTCCTTCCCTCTTGCTCTTGGTGTGCCTGCCGCAAGTGATGGGGAGCCAGCACCCGTCACACCAGATCGGCTCCTTTGTGCGGCCCAGCAGCCGTTGTCGGCTGCGACAGAAGCTTGTGCTCGCTGCAGCTGAGGGCCCGAGGCCTCGTTTGCGCGGTCCGTTTTAGCGTTCTGGTTGGAGCACCGTTGCCGCGGAGCGGTGTCTGGCCATGTGTGCCCGCTATACTGTTGCCCTTCCCGAGGCGGCGCCGTTCTATGACACCCGTTCTGCTCCCTCTCCTGGTTCTGTTGCGCCCCCTCCCCTTTCACACGCCTTCAGGCCCTCTCAGACGCCCTCAGCCCCTCACAGACGCCCTGAGGCCCTGTCAGACCCCGTAGACCCGCTTCGGTGCCGAGGCCTTAGCCCACACTTGGCAAATCCTTACGGAGACTTCTCCGAACGCAACGGTCCTGCCCGTGGATGGCGTAGGAGCCTATGACCACGTGAGTAGGCAGGCCATGCTTGAGGCGCTCCGTGATGTGCCGTTGTCAACATATGTGTGGCATGACACTGTGGGCCAGCCCCACCGTGTGTTGCAAGCTGGGGATATGATACGAAGTGCATAATTGGACCGTGGCGAGGGCTGCCCCGGTTTCTGGTTTCGTGTTTGGGTTGTCGCGCGGGCGCCACGGATCGCATAGCTGGGAATCGGGCCTAGTATAAAGAAACCGTGCCACAGCTGGGGGGCGGGCCCAGTATGCTTAAACAAACCCACCCGGCCCTCCTCCTGGGCTAAGAGGGGGTCGAAAAGTAAAAATAAAATTGAAAATAGCAACAACAACGGGGGGACCGACCTCGTCATCAACGGTCAGCAGCCATCCGACCCCGTCGGTACCGGCCAGCTGCCTGGGGGGGACCGACCCCGTGATCAACAGCGCAGGGGGATAAGCGCACCGCGCCTGCGCTCATCCCATGTCCGCGCCTCACTCGCCAGCCGTGCATTCCGTGTTGTCCTCTCCGGTCCTTGGCGATGACACGCCCATGGCAGAGGTTGCAGACACGCAGGGGGCCGTAGGCAGCCCGACGGTAGGGGGGGCAGCCCCCCTCACGCCCGAGTGGCTCCTGCACGCGAGCGACGCCCCTCCTCAAGCACAAGGTGGGGAGGATGCTTGCCCAGTGTGCCTTTGCAGCATCGGCCCGGCAGCAAGTGGGCCAGAAACAGTGTTTGTGTGGCCATGCGGGCATCCCTTACATCCCGGATGTCCCGCGCATATGCGAGCGAACCAGCAACGCGTCTCTTGACCTATTTGTCGGTCCGGGTGGTCGGATGTGGCCCAACAGCAGTTCGCGAGGCTGTGTTGCCAGGAGTCGGTGCCCATGCCTGAAGCCGCCTGCTCCACGTGGAGTTGATGCCCTGATTGACGGTTCCCGCCCCCACTCGGATGCTGCATGGATCGCTTGATGACTTGGGCCCCATGTGCAAGACCGAACCACGGGAAAATAGCAACCCGAAGTGACTTGCCTGCGGTGCAGTCAGTGTCTGACGCATCGACACCCAATGTTCCATCAAGTTCCGGAGGCACCATGTTGTGCTGTGCACGGACCTCGTACGCTAGCCCTTGATGTGCACATCCGGCCCGCCGGAGCAACGGTATTCGCGCGCAGCTGGCGCGAACAGCTGGTTGTTTGTCCCCTTGCTTCCGGCTGCAGCGGGGAACTTGCGCGGAGAAGCGTCGCACCAGTGGGAGGCGCACGCAAGCTTTGGGCAGGTTTGGCGCGAAGCCCTTCTGAGCCTCTGATGTGCAGCCGGCGTGCACATCTAGGCCCTTTTGAACGCAGCTCAGGTCCACCAAGCCGTCGCCGCATCCGAACGCCAGCTCAGCGCTGCTGAGCTGGCCCTGCCCAGTGTGCTCCAGGCAGCCTCCGCATCACTCCCTGCAGTCGTCAGTGTTCCTGCCTTGGGCCGTCGAGCGGTGCGCACTTGCCGATGGCTACATCCCAGCCACTGCACAGGAGGTGTTGCTCTTGCTCTTCCGCGGGGTCCTCACAACTCTTTCTCCGCCGCAGACCAGCACCGAGGGTCCCACCACGCACCGCCCGGCGAAGCCATTGCACCAGATGTACGGGGCGGCACGCCTGTGCACAAAGGGCACGCCTGTGCATGGGGCGGCACGCCTGTGCACAAAGGGCACGCCTGTGCACAGAGGGCGTGCACACACTCCCCCACCCCCGCCTGGCCACCCAAATCCGGCTTCGTCAGGGCGACCCACCAAAGAATGATGCCACAGCTGCACGTGCGGGTGCCCCTGACCAACCTGACCACACAGCAAGCAGCCAGCCCCCCAGCCAAGCCCATTGGCGGTTCCAACTTGCCTTGCAGGCACTCGACGACTTAACCACCACTCTGCAGCGCAAAGCCTGTACGTTCCAGTTCGTCCCGCCGTTTGCTCGTGGGCCTGTCCGCCAGTGCTTGACCAATGCGCTGCAGCTGTGCTTGAGGCTGCTGCCAACGAGGTCGCAGCTATGCGTGCTTGGAAACAGTGGTTCTGGCGAATTTTCCATGAATCCCATGACATGTAAAGTAAAGATGTAAAGATCGTCATGTGAGATGTCAACTGGCAGAGGCTTGTGTATGTTCTTGTACATGGCTCAAGCCCCTGTAGTACCTGTAGTGCCTTGTGTACTCTAGAAGGAAAAAGAGCCCAATACGCGACGCTGCCTGCGCCCTCCGGGTTTCGCATGGTAGCGGAGCTCTGACCAAGCTCAACGGTCAGGGCCCTCCGCAGGAACTCAACTGAGTTCCTGGTTCTGCGGGTAGCCCCGCGACCAAGGTCGTGAGGACTACTTGCCGCGGGTAGCACCGCGCAGCCAAGGCTGTGCGAGGGCACTCGCCGCCACGTCCCGCCCGGGGTCCTCCTGGTGGGACTGGAGTGGATCTCCGCCCGGAGATCGTCAAGGCCAAGCTCAAGCCGAGCAAGGCCCTTGGTGGGAGAGCCAGGCCTGGTCCGAACCAGCTTGGCAATCTCAAAGCTGGTCCAGCCGGGGCTGGAAAGGCTGGCAAGACTGGAGCCAGCGACCTCGAAACCACCGAGGTGCACGATCTGAAGCGGCTCAGGCCGAGAGGATCGCCCGAGGCATCGCGCGGCGCAAAGCTACAGCGCAGCGCGAGGGAGAGGCTTGGCAGGGTCAGAGGCCAAGCCCCGCAGCTCAGCCAGCTGAGCTGCCAGCGCCCCCGAGCCCGCCGGCCGCGCCTCTAGGGGCTGGCAAGCCAGCTCTGGAGGCCACAGAGGAGACAAAAGGTCGTCTTCTCGGGCGGCACGAGCATCACAAAGCTCGTGCGGTCTCAGCTCCCGCCGGCAAGGCGCGAGCTGCGTGGGCCCCTCCGCTTCTCGAGGCAGAGCGGGCAGACCCGCCTCCTCAGGAGCAGGACAGGGAGCGGGAGGAAAAGCCCAAGGCCAGGGCCAGAGGTTTCAGCCCAGTGCGGGAGTCTCCGCCTGGAGCATCGGACTTGGCCATTGAGGAGTCCGTTGATTTTGGGGACGTCAGTGACCCAGATCCTGAGCCGGTCGAGGACGTCAAGCACAAGTGCAAGCAAGCGCTCATTGCGAGCCGCACCGGTCAGGTGCAGGCCCCACCTCCAGTCGCAAGGCTGAGAGCGGGCAGTGCCGCCTCGAGCTCGTTGGAGCTGGAGGAGGGGTTGGAGCGGGCAATCCGCCTGGCTGCCGACATTCAAGGGGCATTGAGCCATGGCCGATGCCAGCCAGTTCGCCGCTCAGATGCAGGAACTGGTCTCTCAAGTTCAAGCTCTGACGCATGGCCTAAGCACCCAAAGCGAGGCCCTTCGCCAAAGCGAAGCAGAGCGACAAGCCCTCCGAGCCGCCTTGGAGGCGTCGCAGGCCAAGACCACAGAGCTCACCAACGCCGTCGCTCAGCTGATGCTAGCCCAGGGTCAGGCCGCGCAAAGACCAAACGGTCCAAGCGCGACCGCTGCCGCCGGTAACAGACCGAGCGGGATCATGCATCACATGGATGTGATGAAGGCTGTCCGCACGCCGCAAAATCTGAAGGATCGCGACGGGTGGGAAAAGTTTGTGTTCCAAACGGAAACGTATCTAGCCTTCATGGATGGTAGCATGCCAGAGGTTTTGGAAATGAGTCGCAAAGCGACAGACTTTCTGGATCCGGACGAGATGTCCGAGGACACACTAGACCGCTCGCGCAAGCTGTTTGCTATGTTAGCGAGTTGGGTGCAAGATTGCCCGGCAGCAGCCAAGCTGTCACGAGGGATTCGACAGCAGAACGGATTCGAACTTTGGCGCCTCCTGTTTCGCGAATTTGCTCCTGAGAACCACTCCAAAGCGCTGATTTGGAGAAGAACTCTTTTGAGTCCCAAGTTTCCTGCAAAAGAAGCTGAGTTCAGCGCAGCCCTCCAAGAGTGGGAGGCAGACTTGGACCGGTATGAGTCCGAGTACGGACCAAGTAAGGCCATAGCCGATGAAGACAAGCGGGCCGTGGTCATCACCGAGGCACCCGCAGCTCTCAGGCAACACCTGGCGATGCACGCCGCAGTGCTGAATAGCTACGAAGCTGTCCGCGACGCAGTGGTTGGTTACTTGCAAGCCAAGCGAGTATGGAGCCCATCAGCCACGTACGCGGGAAACACCGCCCGGAAAGACGCCATGGACATTGGCAAGGTGGGCGATGGGAAAGGTTCAGACAAAGGCAAGAAAGGCAAAGGTAAAGGTGGCAAGACCGACAAGGGCAAAGGGAAGAATGACACTCCGAAAGGGGGTGACAAGAAAGAACATGAGAAGCCTAGCTGTGCCATCTGCTGGAAGAACAGCCACACCACAGACAAATGTTGGTTCAACACCAAGGGGAAAGGCAAAGGAGACGCGAAGGGGAGGACCGTGTCCAATGTCAACGATGAGACCGCTTCCCAGGTGACTGCGGGCCCCTCCGCGTCCCAGATAGCGCCCAGTGCCGCGTCCAGCGTGCGTGGAGCGGTGCGAACTGTGAGCGAGGGAACCTCTTCCATTCGCATGCTGCGAGTGTCTGAGGGAAAGGGGGACACCAAGATCCCGGGCGAGATCCTCGCGTTCCACAACCAGCCGGGTTGGCATGGCTTGCCGAGCCAGAAGGTTTATGTGGTTTGTGGCAAAAGCCAGCGCATCAGAAAGAAAGTCACGCCTGGACCACAACACAAGGTCTATGGTTTGAGAACCACTTGGCAACTGCATGATATGCGCCAGCAGTGGGACTGCATCGAACACAGGGTCAAGTGGAAGAACTTGACCAACCCCCATGAGCCATTCTCTGGCACTGGAGTTCGGGCCATCATGTTGTTTGAGCAGAACCCTGGTGCGTCCACGGTCGCCCGGGTAGGTGATCTCCTGGTGGACACCGGAGCGTGTACTTCCGTATGCCGTCCCGACGCATTCAAGGCGGCAGTCGACCCGACCGTGGTCGAGTCTCTGTACTCGGTCGACGACAGTCCGCTACACGCGTGCGGGGAGGTCCGCCCACATCTCACCATTGGGAGCGGGCAAAGCCGCCAGGAAGCGCAAATAGCTTTCCAAGTGGTCGAGGGAATTACCGACAACATCCTTTCGATCAACCGAGCCATCGATGACGGAGCAAGCATCCTGTTTTCGCCGCAGGATTGCTACATCCAATGGCCGGATGGGTCAAAGGCAACCTTCGAGCGGAAGGGAAGGCAATTTGTGCTGCCTTACCGTGAGAAGGATTGGGCCAGTAGAGCGCATGTCCGCATCGCGCCAGTGGTGGACCTAGAGCAAGAGGCTGTTGAGGCTTATGCTGCGGCAGAGCACAGCAGCGATGACGATGAACTGCCTGCAGCAGAAGCAGAGCACCCAGCTGAGGAGGAGGAAGCCGCTGATGGCGACTTGGAAGAGGAAGCGCTGGTGCCTGAAGCGCCAGGGCCTCTCGCAGCAGAAGCGCCTCCAGCGCCCACTGCAGCCGAAAGGGCAACACACAGTATGACACACCTTCCATTTCAGCCTTGGTGCGAACTGTGCGTGGCAGGTAAAAGCAAGGAAGACCCCCACAGGCGAAGAGCCAATGCGGACATCGGCGTGGAGAAGACACCGGTGATCCAAATTGACTACCTGTTCCTTGGAAGGAACGCCGCCGTGGTGGAGGAAGAGTCAAGTCTCTTCACCATGCTGGTCGCTATAGATGTGGACTCTGGATGGCCTTTTGCCCTCCAGATTCCCAGGAAGGGCCTGGAGCACGGCCAGTATGTGCTCAACAACTTGACGCTGTGGTTGAACAACCTTGGGCACGACAAGGCCGTGGTGCAGCATGACGCTGAAAACACCATAGGAGCCGTAGCCAGCGCTTGGCAGCGCCATGTTGGAGCAGCAAAGCTAAAGATAAGGGCTGCGCCTGTCAGGTCGCACCAGTCGCAGGGTTCTGTCGAATCGGCGAATGGCTTTGTGGCAGGCCAGATCCGAACCTTGTGGGCAGACGTGCAGGAGCGGTATCCTGAGCTGGAACCAACTCACAACGTCATGCCATGGTTGGTCAAGCATGCAGCGTGGCTAATAAGCCGATACCACGTGCGAGGGCAAGACCGGTGCACTCCATTCAAGTTGGTGAACGGTCACGACTACGCCAAGCCCATTTGCCATTTTGGCGAGGTCGTTATGGCAAAAGTTCCCCTGGCCGAAAGCAAACTTGCCAGGAAGTGGCTCAAAGGGATATGGTTGGGCAAGTTGGAGAAGGACGACAGCCATGTCATCGGCACTACCGCCGGGGCAATCGCTGTGCGGTCCGTCCGCCGCTTGCCCAGTGCGGAACAGATCAACAACGATCTGATGGCCTGCGTGCGTGGGCTACCGTGGAAGCCACGAGATGGCAACCGAGTCGCCCCACGTGAGACGTCAAGTGTCGTGGTCATGCCAGCGCCTGCCCACGCAGCCCTCCATGGAGAGCAAGGAGAAGGCGGAGGAGATCCACCGCGCATCGCGGACGATGGAGCTGACATCGACCTAGACGCAGCAGCCGTGGAGGCAGCGGCGGTCATCCAGGAAATGTCGGACTGCAGCCCGAGCGCGCCAGAAGGCGAGCCGCCCGTAGCGGGAGACACCGCCGGAGCAGCGCCCTCTGATCCCTTCAGGCCCGACACACCAATGAGCCCAACTGGACTTGGAGATGGGGGCCTGAAGCGGGAAGCACCGCCAGCTCAGCCAAGCAGCTCAGCAAAGACACCCAAGGTTGCGGGCATTACCGCCCTGGAGATCTGGGAAGCCATCCAGAAATGGGGCGAGTCTGACGAAGCGTCGAACCCTTTTGCGATGCAGCGCATCAGCAACGTAGCTGACTATGTGGATCAGCTCCTCAACCCTGAGCAGGTCCACATAGCGCGCAAAGCGCAGCTCAAGAAGTTGTGGGATAAGAAGGCATTCACGCCCGTCCTTCGAGAGGAGATCCCCAAAGGTTCCCAGATCTTCCACCACAAGTGGGTTGACAAAAGCAGCCGAGGGGTGTACAAAAGTCGCTTCACGTGCGCAGATGTGAAAGCGCGCTACACCAAAAGCCAGGAGGAGGAGATGAACGTGTTCGTCCCTACTCCAACGCCTGAGAGTCATGCGCTCCTTGAGGTGTATGCCCTGGCGCACGGATACCACACGAGGTCTTTGGACATTGTAGCCGCGTTCCTGATCGGCGCGGACAGGGGAGCCGCCGAAGGCAATCCCGTCTATGTCCGAGCACCAGTGGAGTGGCAAGAGCTATTCGAGAAATGGCTTGCGGGCCTAGCGCCGGCGGATCAAGCCAAGTACCGCCACCGCTTCAAGGACCTGCTGTTCCGCCTAGACGGAAACCTGTACGGACGCCGACCAGCAGGTTCCGTGTTCAGGAACGAGCTTGAGGACATCTTGCTCAACAAGCTGGACAAGAAGCGCTACCACTTCGTGCGGGGCGAGAAAGACCCGACGGTCTACCGCTGCACGAAGAGTGGAGTCGTGATCGTGCACCACATCGACGACTTCAGAGGTACAGGCCCAGACGACGCCTTGGACTACCTCTACGATGTGGAGTTGCCGAAGTACTGCGAAGTTCAGAGTGGGGAACTTGAGCGGGTCGGCACTGTTGTGGAAGTGCTGAACCGAACCAAGATCCGTCTGGAGGACGCCATCCTCACACAAGCAGATAAGGTGCATGTCGAGAACATCAAGAATGCGCTCGGGGTCACCAAGGAAAGGTCCGAGGTGCCAAGCCGCCAACTTAACCTCCTGGAAGTGATGCCACTTTCAGAGGAGGATGCGCGAGCCTATCGCAGCGCAGTTGGCAGTGCCATTTACCTTTCTGCGGACCGAAGGGATATCCAGTTTGCCACAAAAGAGTTGGCCAGAAGGATGTCCAATCCCAGGGAATGCGATTTGAAAGCTGCCAAGATACTAGCAGCCTACCTAAACCGCCATCCAGAGATGTACACAGTGGTAGCTCTGGAAGCGGGAGCCACCGCCCAGAACGAGCTGACCCTGGACCTGTTCACGGACTCGGACTGGGCCGGATGTCTCGAGACGAGACGCTCCACCGACTGCTACATCGCCGTGCTTGGAGGAGCTGTAGTGGCTTGCGGGTCACAGACGCAGCCGGGACTCCCAGCAACTAGCTCGCCTGATGCTGAGCTGCGTGGCGTGAGCAGGGGGGCGCGAGAAGCTCTCTTCATAAAGGAGCTGGCCACGATCGACTTCGGGCTGAAGGTCAAGAAGCCTAAGCTCTGGACCGATTCGAGCTCAGCTCAGGCGGCAGCCAGGAGGATCGGGCCAGGATCCAAGCTTCGCCACCTGGAGGTGTGCGAGTTCTATGTGCAAGGAGCGATCCAAGCTGGAAAGCTTAGCGTTGGAAAGGTCAAGGGCACTTGGAACCCAGCCAACTTCTTAACGAAGCATGCCAAGACCGGCACAGAGGTGCGGGAAGCTCTGCCCTCGCTAGGAATGCTGGAGAGCCTTGACATCACCCAATTCCAGCGCATCAACGTCAAGGTGTCCGCGGTAAAGCGGCAGCCTTGGAAGCCAGGCTTCCCTGCCAAGCTTGAGGACGCTGGCGCGGGAATGACCGCCCAGGCAGCGGGACCATCCGCCTTGTGCAAAAGCACAAAGTTGGGAGAAAGCAAAGGCCAAACCAAAGGTCAAGGAGTGCGGTCGCCCCCGCCGGCAAGCCCGAGACATGAGGGCAACCTCGCTGTTCGAGCGGGAAGCTCCGCCCCCGGACGGAGGGTAAATAGTTGAATTTGCTTGTACAAAGAGCAGTTCACATGCCGCCTTTAAGGGGGGTGGCGAATTTTCCATGAATCCCATGACATGTAAAGTAAAGATGTAAAGATCGTCATGTGAGATGTCAACTGGCAGAGGCTTGTGTATGTTCTTGTACATGGCTCAAGCCCCTGTAGTACCTGTAGTGCCTTGTGTACTCTAGAAGGAAAAAGAGCCCAATACGCGACGCTGCCTGCGCCCTCCGGGTTTCGCAGGTTCTTGCTGCCCAGGAGGTTGTTTCACAGGGAGCCCGGAACAAGGAAATTGCTTCAACGAGATTGGGACGAGCTATTTGCTGCATTCCACGCGGGCAGGTGGGAAAGGCTGCTACACCAAGCAACTCAAACGGGTGCAGGCCATCCAGGCAACCTACCCGGCACAAAGATCCGGCCCGGCGCCCGACACAACTCATACCAGGCGCTTGACCCGGCCATGCAAGAAGCCGCCAGGGCGTTTGGCTTGGGCCGCATGGTCGCGCTCCTCAAGCCCAATGGCAGGGTGTGGGTCATTGTTGTTGGCGATTTCACGCGGCGCCTGGTCGCTCGCACCCTTGCACAGCAGAATGCATCAGTGTTTCAGGACGCGTGCCAGCCATATCAGTTTGCCTTGTCATCCCGAGCTGTCACCGAAAGTGTGGTGCACCTGTTGACGGCCAGCAGCTTGCGGTCGACACGACCATTGTGTCGCCGCTCACGGCCAACGGTGTGGCTCGCTCCCTGCCCGCCCTATCGCTTTGCAGGAGGCACGGCGCCGAAAAGAGGCAACTTTCCCCGAGCTTGTTGGCAACGCCCGTTGCCGCCTTGTGGCTCTCGGGAGTGCTGAGGCCGCAGAGTTTGTGCGCTTGCTGGCCCACGCCAAAGCTCGTGCTGCCCCAGCCGTGCTGCGGCCTGCTTTGCGCGGCGCGTACGTGCACCGTGGTCTGGCTTGCTTGCCGCGGCTGCATCCCTAGCTTTTGCTGAGAGCTTGGCTTGCCTGCCGTCGCGTGGCCTTAGCAACCTTGACGGCCCCGGCCCCGACATCAGTGACTTGTTGGCGGGCGTCCGGGATGCCCCGGATGTGTCCCGCCTGCCTGCCAGGTAGGGCCTTGCATGTGATGGTGCTGGCCTCCATACAAACAGCGCTTGCAGGTGAGGAAGCTGGCCTCCGAAAAAACAGCCTGCGCAGCCCTTGTGCTCAGGGGCCCCATTAGCCGCCAGTCCATGTTGGGGGGTTTGTTGGAGACACCAGGCACATCCCGCATATTGCCTTTTGTTCCTCGGAGCCGTCCGAGTACGTGTGGCATGACGCAAATAGTGTTGCGCACCTTGTGCTCCAGGCCGAAGGCGGTGAACAAGGCGACCCGCTGATGCCCGCCTTGCATTCACTGGGGCAGCATCCCGCGTTGCGAGCAGCCAATGCCGAGCTGCCAGCAGGCGAGCGCGTAGCTGCTTTCCTTGATGGCACGTATGCGCTCACAACTCCTGAGCGGGCAGGGCCAGCCCTCCGGCTTCCCCGACCAATCGTGCTGGGTTGGGGCAGGCTCCCTTCCTCCAGAGGCACAGGGGTTGGTTGTGCTAGGTGTGCCGGTGGGTTCCAATGCCTTTGTGCGAGCCCAGCTCCTGCAATCCCGGACGAGCCACGATGCGCTTTTGCAGCGTCTGCCGGAACTGGAGGACCTCCAAGCCTCTTGGCTGTTGTTGCTTTTCTGTTGTTCCCCACTCCGCCCTCGCAACCTTGCTTGGCCGCGACGGAAGAATAGGCTGAGGCTGCCGCGCGCTGCGCTGAATGCAGCCCCAACCCCCCTAAGGACAATGGCAACTGCGCGATGGCGCAGGCTGGGTCGGGAATGCCTCGTGGGCCGACTGCTTGCCTGACTTGCGCTTGCATTACCCCGACGCTGCCCAAGACCTTGTGGCACGTTTGTCTGCACCGGCCCGTGCTTGCGCGCAGCGTGCCGTGCTTCGGAGGAGTTGCAGGCTGGGGGGTGGAACCCGCCCGACTGGCCACAGCTGCTGATGGGCCAGCAGTCCACGCCACCGGCCTTGCACGGCCCCAGCAGTGCTTTGCGCGGCTGGCAGTGTGAAGCTGCGCACGACGTGCTAGCCCACTGCCAGGCAGTCTTGCTTGGAGGCTCGGATCCGGCTGGCCAAGCCATGCTGCACTCCCAGTCATCCCCTTTTGCCAGGCGCAGCTTCACCACTGTGCCAACTTGCCCTGCCTTGGCTTACTCCTCCGACTTGTTCCGGGTGCTTCTGTTGAGGCGTCTCCCTTCTGCCGGTGTCGTCGCCTTCTGGACCCTCTTGGCGACCACCGTGCTGGGCCACCGGCCCGCGGAGGGGCAGCTACTGTCCGCCTGAAGGCTGGCCACACCCTCTCAAAAAGCTACAAAAAACCTAACTTGCGGCCACCCCGAATCCATCTACCGCTGCTACTCTAGTACTCCAGTACTGCTGTTCGCTTAGGGTTTCTTTTCCCTTGTGTTTAGGGCATGTGGTGAATCGAACTATGCGTTGGCCGTTTTGCTCCTAGCCTTGACCCAAACCTGCGGTTTCATTTCTGAAACGGAAACGCCGCCATGGACGCCTTGCTGTGTTTCGGAGTGTGCCTCGCCATTTACACAGCCCTTGTGTCCAGCTTCACCTGCCTTGCCATCTGGTGCCTTCTGCGCCAGTACAGCAAGGCCCTCCTTGGGTCCTTTGAGTGCCAGCCGTCATGCCGCCCCGAAGCCGTGTACATCCTGCCAAAGCGCAAGGTGTTTCATCATCGGCAGTGCCACCACTTGGCACAGCGCGATGTCTCAGCCCTTACATTTCAACCATGCGACAACTGCCGCAGCCTGTGGTAATCACATGCACCGGAAACGCTCTGCCATATGTGAAAGCCTTGTCTTCATTGCCATAGGCTAATGAAAAACGTGACGCGGCATCGCGGCTGGACCTTGAGCCCATTACATTGCACTTTGCACTTTGGCTCAAGAAGTGTTGACTGAGGTTTTCAGCTGGGGCAGTCTCCCCTGTCTTTAGGTGCCATGGCAGGGATGACGCCGACTCGGCCGAAGCAGAAGCGGCGAGTGACGTCCCCTCTGCAAGAAATGGATGGTGAGGAAGAAGAGTTGGTCGAGCTGGATGGGTCTGGTTCGGAGACGAGCGCGCCATCATTGAGTGCAATTGCAAGTATTGTCCGTCAAGAGATGCAGACAGCTATTGCGCCAGTCGAGGCACAGCTTTCCTCTATGCAGGCAACCTTCGGAAATCGACTGAGTAATGTTGAGGCAAAACTTGCTGATCACGATTTGAAGATCGGAAAGCTGGAACAGCTGACGGTCAACAAGTCGGTCCCCACCAATGTAACCCAGCAAGTTGAGAAGCAGCTTGCGGACCTGCAATCGCAACTTGACACCCTCAAGGCGGTACCGGTGGTGTCCAAGGCTGATATTGCGAAGACAGTGGTTGTCGGAGGGCTCGAGGATATGCCATCATTGAACGCTGCCACGCAATGGCTCACGGACAAGCTTCGCGAGCTAGGCGGGCCTTGCCACACAGGTACCTACATGAAATCATCAACCTTCAAGGGCCTCGTTTTTGCAAAGTTCAACTCGTCATATGACAGGGACATGGCCGCGGCACTTTTGCGCAGTGCCAGCATGACATGTGGTGACAAGCACGTGTGGGCAACGCAGGACTTGCCGATCCCTGTGCGAGCTCGAAAAATGTTTTTGCTAGGGCTTCGCTGGCAGTTGGGCGAGTGGGGCTTTTCCAAGCGAGAGATCGAGGTAGGTGATGAGTACTTTTCCTTGATGATTGCAGGGAAGGTCGTGGTCAAGCTCACCATGAACGAGAGTGGCATCCAATACCATTGGGCGGAGGAGTGGGCGCAGTGGGATGATTTCCAAAACAGCCCCGAGCTAAGCCAGTTGTGCGAGAAGGCTAACAGCATTTGGCACAAGCAGGGGAAGGGCTCTGGGAAAAGCAAGGGCGCCGCTTGCTAGGGACAGCTCCGTTCGAGTCAGGATGTTTCACCACAATTTTCCTCCCATGGTGGAAGTGCAGATCTGCGAGGTACAGGAGACACATTTTTCCACATTTTTGCAAAGAATGCATTTCTCTCAGGACCAGTGAGGACAGCCGAAATGCTGGAAGAACTTGGCGATACAAACTGGGACGTCGTGATGTTCAGCGAGACACGTTGCGCAAATATCAACGCAACTTTGGATGGTGGACACCGTTTCGTGACATCTACACAGCCAACACATGCGGCAGGTGTGGCCCTCCTTTTGCACCAGCGGCATTCTGCAAATATCAAAGCAACACATTCGGCTTCAGATAGATTGCTTTTTGCGGATGTCAGCACTGACAGAGGCATGGCCCGTTTTATTGCAGCCTACGTGCCACATGGTGGCTACTCACAAGAAGATTTGGATGATTTCTATGGACTATTCCACTTTACATTGGATGATGCAAACAAAAAAGGCTATTTGATAATTGTCGGTGGCGATTTCAACACACAATTAGGAATCGGTGTGCGAAGTGACATGCTGACAGAAATTGCAACTTCATTTGGATTGGTCATTGCCAACGATGACGAACACCATGACAAAAATGCTGAAACATGGACGTTTGAAAGCTCTTTGGGTGCAAGGCGACGGATTGATTATGTTTTGTTCTCTTCAAAGTTGATATTGGACACTGCATTTGCAACTGATATCCTTGATATGGGTTCGGACCATCGCGCTGTTTACTCACGAATCCATTTGGGCAAGCGCGTGCCTTTGAACAGGCGGAAGCGCAGCATTCGACGTGGATGGAAACCAGTTTTGAATGAAAAAGGCCAGCCGGACAATTACCATCAAGCGTTGCATGAGGTATTATGTTGTTCTCAACCACGGTCCGTGCCCGAGCTTGAGGATGTTCTTGCAAAGGCCGCTAATAAAACGCAGGCTCAAAACAAGAAAAGCGCATGCGATGTGCCGTGGAACTGTGACGGCTTCAAGCAGTTGTTGCTGAGACGCAAGCAAGCAGACACCCGAGGTGAACGAACAGTTCTGTCCAAGCAAATTCGGAAGGAGCTTCGACAATACCTGCGGAGAAAACGGAACGCAAGGACCGCGCAGATCCTATCTGAATTTTCAGACCTGGACAGGCTGGCATCAGTTCGAAATTTTCCGTTCCACACGGTGAGACAAGCAGCGCGCAGTGCTCCTGAGCCCGATGATTTTACAATGCACTTGTCGGATTTATTTTCTTCAGAGGCGGGCTTCGAAACAGAGTTGCTGAATTCACTCATGGACTATGCGAGCCGCCATGGCTTTCAAGACATCCCTCCTTTTCGGATGTCTGAATTGAAGCATGCAGTGTCCAAACTACGAAGCCGCACATGTGCAGATACAGATGGCTTGGTTGTGGAGATGTTCAAGTATGCGAGTGAGGAGTTATTAGCCTACTTACTGGATATTTTCAATTCCATGCTTGCAACCGGCCAGTTGGAACCAACGTGGTGCCATACAATGTTTACGATGCTCCCAAAACAGGGTGACACGTCAGATGTGTCCAATTGGCGGCCGATTGCCGTTCTAAAGGTATCTTACAAAATCTTTTCACGATTGTTGCATTCTCGATTGGAGACGTACCTTGATGCACAGCAACCCTGTGACCAGACAGGTTTTCGGAAAAACACAAGTATTGATGATGCAATGCTTGTTTTTGAATCTGTTTGTGGCAAATCGCTGGAATGGGACCTGGACATGTGGTTTGCCAGTTTGGATTTAACAAAGGCATTTGACAAGATTGAACACGACGCACTGTTTCAAGCTCTGTTACGGCAAGGGGTGCCACCATCATACCTGGCTTTACTGACTTCGCTGTACCGGAAGCAAACGGGATCGGTGCAGGGCGGTCGATCTTTCAGCATTAAACGTGGCGTCAAACAAGGCGACGTCATCAGCCCCATGCTCTTCAACGCAGGCCTGGAACATGCCATGCGAAATTGGAAGCAGAAACTGAGGAACCATGGCCTTCATGTAGGCAAAGAAGAGCGATTGACAAACGTCCGCTTTGCTGATGATATTATGTTATATGCAAAATCTTGCAGTGAATTGATGCAAATGCTGGAAAGTCTGATCTTGGAGCTGGGCGCCATTGGTTTGCAGTTGAATTCGCGGAAAACAAAGATTTTGACAACCGCTTCGCTAGCGAGCCCTACTTTCTTGGAAGTTGCTGGCAGTTTTGTGGAAGTGTTGTGGGGCGATCGCTCTCACAGCTACTTGGGGAAATTGCTTTGCGGAGACCTGTCCAAACGCAGCTCAGTGGAACTGCGCCACCGTATCCAAGCCGCATGGGCCAAATTCCGAAGCCACAAGCAAGTGCTTTGCAACCCGCATATTTCTTTGAAGTTGAGACTTCAGTACTTTGAGGCCACCATCACGCCAAGTGTACTTTATGGTTTAACAACACTACCGCTTACACAAAGCCAGCTGGACAGATTAGACGCTGCTCAGCGTCGCATGTTGCGATCTATTGTGGGATGGGTCCGTATTGAGGGTGAAGACTGGCGTGACACAATGCACAGAATGAAATTACGACTGCAACACGCGCTGGCGATGCATCCTTTGAGGCCATGGACGCAGCAACTATTTACCCGGCAATACAGGTTTGCTTCCAAGATATCTCGTCGAGATGATGCTTGGCCATGGGCAGTCGTTACATGGATTCCAGGTGATGGTTGGACCCATAATTTCCTGAGAGCGCCAAGAAGGAAACTAGGCCGCCCGCCGAAAAGGTGGGACGATAATTTGAGGACATTTGCACTTGAACATTTGCAAGGCAGGACGTGGATGGTGGCAGCTCGGTCAAGGCAATGGCTTGACAACGAGCATCTTTTTGTACAGTTTTGCCAAGCTACATGACTGCCTCGTGTGTTCCCTGTGTCCTTCATGGACCGTAGTCTCCTGACTCGAACGGGGCAAAGGCAAAGGCAAAGGCACTTTACTGACTACTTCGCCTGCAGCATTCATGAGCCTCTGCAAACATGTGTTGCAGCGCACGCCTGTCTCTCCGCTACGGTCTTAGTTGTTGCATTTCAGGCCGCCATGACTGCTGCCATGACTCCAGTGTTTAGGCATTATACAGCTCCTGCGGGACATTTCCAAGACGCACTGAATTTAGTCAGGACCCAAGCCGGGCAATCTTGAGTCCGCTCTGGATTTGCATCCCTCCGGGGTTGTTGCCTTGCGCCGCGAGCCCTTGGCAACTCAGGCTCCTCCGGGACCTTCACACGGGCGCACTGACTTCAGTCAGGAGTTGCCTTGCGCCGCGAGCCCTTGGCAACTGAGGCTCCTCCGGGACCTCCACACAGGCGCAATGCCTTCCGTCATGACCTCAGTCATGCATTCTTGAGTCCGCTCTTGAATCGCAGCCCTCCGGGGTTGCTGCCTTGCGCCGCGAGCCCTTGGCATTTGAGGCTCCTCCGGGACCTCCACAAGGCGCAATGCCTTCGTTCATGACCGCAGTCATGCATTCTTGAGTCCGCTCTTGAATGGCAGCCCTCCGGGGTTGCTGCCTTGCGCCGCGAGCCCTTGGCAATTGAGGATCCTCCGAGACCTCCACACAGGCGCAATGCCTTCAGCCATGACCTCAGTCATGCATTCTTGAGTCCGCTCTTGAATCGCAGCCCTCCGGGGTTGCTGCCTTGCGCCGCGAGCCCTTGGCAAGTGAGGCTCCCAAGGGACCTCACCAAGCCCTGCGATCAGGTCTATCCGTCATGACCCCGGTCATGCATCAAGCCATGCAATCTTGAGTTCGCTCTGGATTTGCATCCCTCCGGGGTTGTTGCCTTGCGCCGCGAGCCCTTGGCAACTGAGGTTCCTCCGGGACCTTCACAAGCCCTGCTCTCCAGGCCTAGCAATTGTGTACACCGTGCATGGTACTTTATCTGCATTCGCACTTGGATATCCGCCTAAAGTTGATTTGCATCTGTTGCAGAGCACTCTTTCACTCTCCAATCCAACGCCTTGCCTTTTGTGCCATGGAGTGTGACGGCGACACCTTAGACGCCATCCACACCACATTAGCCAGAAGCTACTTAGACCTTGAAGTCATGCTCGACGAGTTCTACACAGTCCTTCTGCGCATTAAGCTCTTCTGCCATATCATTGCCGTTTGCCTTGTTGCCCTCACCCTAATCGAGGGCACTCGTGCATTGTCATGCATTGTGGATTCTGTACAGCACTGGGCGGCCTTTGCATACCACGCCCTCACATGATGGGGCACTACTCTTGCCGAAAATAATACAGTGTGCCTTCTACATACTGCACCTGCACATGATGGCTCACATCTGGGCCAACACGGTGAGTCCTTGCCGCCAGGTCAGCGCAACTGGCCAGGAACCTAGCAGTTCCCAGCCCTCAGTGCTCACCTCAATGTGCCTAAACACCATAGCCATTTCGCCCAACACGCCGTAATGGCGCTTTCACCCCACGAGATTCAGCCATGCACTGAATTGGTGGAGCAATGGATTAGCCTGCTTGCCTGCTGGGCAGACTCATTCTTTGCCAGGCAGAGCAAACTGGCCCTGCTGAACCACCTTCGTCGTTACCTGGACTTCATCATTCTGCGAATTGGCCTTCACGAGGGCTCCGTGCATATTGCCCGCCTTTTGACACTGTGTGCCTTTGCCATTGCATATGCCAATCAGGGCCAGACTTTCACCGTGGACAGCCTGGCTTTGTTTGCCTCCGCCTTTGACTGGCACAAACCTACAGCATGTTTCTTGTGCCAAACAACAAGTCTTTCAGCCAGGGGTCTCCTGACAGCCGCCTGTGACCCTAATTTCAGGCGCTTTGCAATGCAGCACCGCTGGCACGAGCACTCCGAGTCAGCCTTAGTTTCACTCTTGCACGCATGTGTTGGCCCTAAGACAACCCGCCTTCTGAACGCGGTTTTGTCTTGCCTTGAAGACCTTGAATTCATCCTAGTGCGTGTGCAGCCTGCGATG